TGTTATGGTTTTGGGTCTTCAGGTGTCCTAGGGGGGGTGGCATGGTTAGAAAATGGAAATGGTCACTACTAACTCTATTATGCTTCAGGCTGGCAAAGCAGGTTAGCATGATGCGCTGCACCATCTAAAATATATTTGTCCACAAAGATTCCTGCATACTGCGCAGTCTGCAGGTCATGCTCTGCGCCACCTCGCGCCATCGCGCAGAAAAGCCACATTTAGGCAGGCTTTCTACACGTTCCCCATGATCGTCCTGCCAGCTTGCCCTGTAGCTATGGCAGGCGCACGCAGGCATTTAGTTCACAATGAGCCACGATCACCCTCCCGCCTCCAGCGCACCTTGCTCTCTGGGAAAGGAAATGTTGCTGTAAGCCCAAGAAAGACCGCAACACATCATGTTCTCTCTAAGTCCCTCTGTCAATCGCTTCCATGGATAGGCCTTGGAGATCTGAAGCGGCATCAGTGTGTCACATGTCAAGGTGCGCAAGCACGTCTTTTCTATCGAAAACATGCCGGCCCCCAGTTGGTGCAGACTCAGACCCGTTGGATTGCCGGTTCACGACCCACGGCAGAGAATTTTTTGGTATATTGGACAATAGTCTGAACAACCAAGAAAACCTGTGGGACGGTGAACAGCCACGAGTGCTTATGCAGCCGACACGAGCAGCTGGTAACTCTAGTAGCTGCTGAAAACACAGCGCTTGCGAGAGTTCTCCTCTGTAAGGTTGGCGCAGAAGACCTTTAAGCGATCAACAGGGTGCGAAATGCTCCAAAATTTTGGAGGGAGGCACACAGGCTGTGGCCTCGTCGGAAGTTGATGACGGATGACCCAGCTGCAGCCTCGAGACTAGCGAAAAGATGCAACGACCAGGCTGTTGTCACTTGCTGTCGCTTGCTGTCTTTGATCTGAATGAGTTCGTGGCCGCTGCCGACGCACAGCAGCGGAAAATGCCGATCCCGCTGAACCAATGAAGTACCTCCACGCCGACAGTTCGAGTCTAGCTAAGTATGCAGTACTGCCAGGTGCGAACTGCGTGTTTGTTGAAGGAACAGGGGCAGCAGATCTTGAAATCAGGGCCCCCAGCTCTGCTTCGGACACTAGCTGCAGCTCAATAAGCTCTTGCTGGCCACGAAGTTCGGGCCTGAAGCTACCAAGCAAGCTGTTGGCAACTCAGCCCGGATTAAGCCCGGCATGGCATCAAAACCAAGCTGTTGGCAAATCACCACCATCATCCTGCGAAAAGAAGTACAAAGCCTCCACGTGTGGTCAAATGTGCATGTTCTTTCTGTACAACTTGTAAGCTGCGAACAACACAAGTTCATGAGGCCCGCACTACTTTCACTTTGGAACGGAGGTCTACACGAAAGCCTGTGATATTTCAATTTGGTGTGCTCTTTGCAGCATGCACTCAGGGTCAATTTGTTCGGTTGCATTGCTTGATCGGTAGCAATGAGAAAGGCTCCCAGGCCTTCTTCTGCATCACCGGCAACGAAGACCTGCTCCAGATGCCTCCTGTAGTTTCAAAGCGTCATCAACCCTTCTGCAAATTAACATGGTTGTGGCACAAAATGACTTCGACACGGGTCCAAGAGTGAAGCCAAGATCATTGAATGTTTTGTTGAGAGACACCACAGGCTGCGAAACAAGGGATGTACAACAAATCGAGCAGCTGTAGGCAGGCCCTGTGGCACAAGTAAACCTTCTGAGGCTGGAGAGACTAGGTGCGAAAAGCCCAAACAGTTGCATTACGTCGTGAACGTGCGGCTCTGCAAAAAAACATAGCACAATGGCTGCCTTCAAGGACAAACTGCAGGGTGAAGCCGCAAAAACCGCTAGTAGGAGTACGAACTGACTAAAATGAATTGTGTTGTTCTTCGCGCACGTTCACAACACCCACATCGCCCACATCGTAGTCCGGGTACGTCGACACTGCTTACAAACGACTACATACGTCCTCCGCCATGGGAAAGGATCCAAGAAATTTGAATGCTTCCACCACGCCCGCTGAAAGACTGGCAAGCAGCCATACATGAACACTAGTATGGTCAGGGTATGTCTGCTCTTGGAATCTCTTGGAATGAATGCTCTGCGGAATGGTTGCAGTTGTACAGGAGCATTCTGACAGTTTATGCATTGAAGTTCTTGCAACAGATGCTCTGGAGATTAGGTCGTGTGAAGACATGCACGATGACGATGACATCCACGTACTTGTTTGTCCACGATGACGGCCGGGGTGGGAAACGTCTGGTGGAATCACGCCATTTCGAGTGTAAGCGTTACACACGCGTTCAAAGGAACAATGCTCAGTTAAATGCTCTGCAGCTGCAGGGTCGTCAGCCGGTTAGTTAACCCCTACTGGCATCTAAAATTCATGATAGTTCCTCTACTTTGAGGGAAATTGAATCCTGGTGACAGATTTGCTGAGAATCAGGCTTCCTCAGCAGGCGATTGATCCTCGAAGCGGCAGCCCAAGCACTTGGAGTGGTCGACTGGCACGGAAAAGGCTTCACACTGTGGAGAAACCTTTTTTTTGCAGAACCTCTCATTCCACAAAGATCGCTTACGCGCAATGAGCAACAATTCACAGCGCAACTTGGAACTGACGTCTTTGCATGGCCGATGAGTAGGTGCACTTGATGAGTCCGTATTTGCTCAGATCCACAGGAGGTTTGCGGTAGGGGAGGATCACCCTCAACATAGCCACATTTGGCAGCATCAGTAGCATGGCCGTTATTCGAGCTCCCAAGAGGCAATCCGCGAATGGCCAAAGGACACACAGGTACTCCTTTCTGCATCATTGACGTAGTAAGACCCGTCTCAGCCATGGGGGACATGAGGGGCCACGATTTTGGTGACGATCGCTTCCTTGAGTGCGAGTTCCAAAGGAGCATGAACAGGTCTCGTGCCGCGATGGCCAGCATATCATCCACGATGAAACCTGCCCCAGTGCCCTTGAGCACGTTCTTCGAGCAGCAGCTCTTGCCACAATAGCAGTAGGACAAGTGATCATTTGTGAGCCCAGCAATATTTACAGCCGCACGCAGCCTTGTCAGCACACAGCCTTTGCTCAGATCCGATGTTTGCAGGTTGGGAATATGCGTCAGCACCAAGAAGTCTGGCCTCAAACGGATGAAGAAACTGTAGCTGTAGTTGAGAAGAGCTTCCCTCTCCAGCACCTTCCGAAGGCATACCTTCATCCTTCGCAGCTGATTCTCTGCCGGGAATATCCAAGCTTGTGTGACTTCTGGGGGCATTTGGCTTTCCCTCCGGTCAACGCACAGCAAATACTCTGGCATGAAGCCCTGTTGCTGCAGAGGTTGCAAAACGTGGATCAAATGTGAGCTGAAGACTGTAGATATACCACGCTTTTCCAAGATCTGTAAGGCTCGACTTGTAAATTCCCTGGTCATACGAGCTTTGGTAATTCGACGCAGGAGAATACGTGACTGGCCTACCACCATGATGGCAACCATGGTGGGATGCAGATCCTGCGACTCCTGGTTTCTGTTGGCTTCAAGATCGACCTGCTTCTCAATAGCTTGCAATGACTTCTTGGCTGTCTCCCGGAATGTCTGCAGACTCTGCAACTCCTTCATAGCAGCTCGAGACTAACATCAAGTCAAACAGATCTCTCTGAAGCCTGAAGCAGTGCTACGAAGGCGGGAGTGTCAGTCAAAGGGAAGTGACAAAAAGCAAAAATCGGCCAAGGATGCCCCCAGCAAGGATAAACGGATAAATTGCACGGAGAACCTGTTCTTCGTGGTCATGTCTTGCTGCTTTGTGGATGAAACTACCGATCAGCAGTCACCTCTCATCGTAGTGCTGGACCCAGGCTCTTTGGCTAAGAGAACCAGGGGTTGACCATCTATGCAGCGCAAGATTTGCCATGCATCTGCCACTGCTCGAAACGAAGCTCAGTCCCTTACCGTAACTCTAAACCTGTTGCTACACTGCTACATAGCTAAGTAGGTGAGGAGATGGATGTCACAAGGCGCATGTTCGGTAAACGCTGTTCTGAATGTGCTGTGCAAGGCATGTAACAGGGATGGTTTAACAGGATTGCAAGAAATGGGAAAGATCGTGGTGATAAAGCAAGAACGACAATGCAAATCATTCAGATTGTATATGTGTGTGCACGCTGTCCGGGCCAGCTGTCTCTTCACTGAAGTTTGCCAGGGTTGTGTCGTCCATGTCAGGGGAACCACCACCACCACCAGGCCACTTCAGCCACAAGAAGCTCACGAAGCCTGAAGTGTCAAAGGCACTGCACTGCACAGCAACTCAGATTGGACAGAAAGGACCCGCTCCAGACTTACATGGTTGCCCACAGCTGAGTGCTGTGCTCTTCAGGGTTCTGTAAGATCCCAACTCTGACCAACTTGCTGCATTCAACTTGCGTGCAATTACTCAAGCTGCCTTTGTTTGTGCATGTGATCAGTGCTGGCTGCCCATCCTGGCTCTGCACTCTAAGTGCTCTTCCTTTACCACCCGCTCTTGCCTGCGTTCAAGGCGAATGTCGCAGGCACCAGCATGCGGCACCGACGGTACAGCAACATAGCCCGGAGGCCATGGCAAGCTGGGCAGCTAGCAGACAGCAGCCTGCGGCTTAGCCAGAATGAAAATTCCAAGCCCCCATCCTATCCAAGCTGCTTCCCGCACCATGCTCGCAATCATTTGACCTAACGTTCTGTCAACAGATGATTTGTCCAAACCACATGCTATCACCACACTGTGCTGTCAACAAGCTTCTGCGATCTGCATCTGAAGCCACGAGATCACCAAAGTCAGAAACATCCATCCGCCCTGCCGAAGCCGTTACAAAACCTCCATGCGTCTTGCCGGACCGTCATTGCTGCGTTGGTGGTGCTAAAACAGCGCCAGGCACCGCATGTGTGACTCTGTAGTCATTCCGGCGAAGATGCACTCCGAGGTAAGGCAACCTGGGCGCAATCAACAAAAACTCAAATTCTTGGTTTAGCGGTCAAGCAGGTAATGGCAGACTCGCAAACAGCAAGAACCTGCCACACTCTGGAAGCAATCGAGTGTTCGAGTGCCGTGTGCGCCCACGAAATCCCCACCCCTGCACGGTCGGAGAGCCGGAGGGCCCCATTTCCGCAACATCCAAAGCACACCCATCACGACATCCATCCCCCAGAGCACCGTTCCGCAAATATAGGGTTTTTGAGATCCCCAACGCTCTGCCTTGCAGGATCTTAGATGATTTTCCGCTGTCAAATTACGGGCCTGGGGAAAGAGGGTTTGGGGTGTAAACTTGTTTTGTTGTTTCAATCCTTTTCCTGACTGCCCAGTTACACCCAGAATGCGTCTCACGCAGGGAGAGCCCTAGCAGCTATGAGCTATGCCGGGGTGGAATGAGCACGCCTAAGCATTAGGCTCTGAAGAAGACAAAAATTGTCCAATTTTCAGGGCTCCTAAATATGTTCAGTCAGAGATTCGGAACGCGGACCAAATCAGTCATGCGTTCGGAATCCAAGGAGTTAAGGTGTGCATTTATTGTCTGGGAAAAACAGTTGTGGGTGTTGTTTGGAGGGACAATAGGGGTTCGAGGTGCGCGGGAGGCAGGCCTAAGGGAGGGCTAAGGTTTAGAGGGTGTACTTCATGGGAAGGTCTCTTGCATGTGTAAAGTCGTTTAGATCGGGTTCTTCGAGGCCCCGGTATGGTCTTTTGGCAAGGGAAGGGTACATGCGGCGCAAACGTGTCAAATGTTTGAGGCTTGGGGGTCACCAGTACCTAGTGGGACTTGAGAGAACATGATGAGTGTTGGACGCGGTAGGGGAGGGATCTGAATTTCTTGTGCCTCGGCGTGGACCCAGCTGATAAGAGGGCGCGCGCAGTCCGTAATGGTTCCGGGGCACTGATCCAATCTGGCCCCAAGAGCAAAGGCAGGCTGATTGTAATCTGGTTCGTCAGCAAGTGAATGCACATTGCGTCCGAAAAGAAATTACTGTCTGCTTGCGCAACGAGCGGGTCCACGAGCGTACTCTGCTCACCGATGGTCGTGGGGTACAGGACACGCAGGTTGGGCAGTGTCTGCGGCGCGGTCGACGTCGTCTAGGGCCTGCAACAACCTTGCTGGGTCATCATAGCACCAAAATTGATGCGTCGGCATCATCCTGGATTTCCGCTGCACAGAATCAGTTGGGCATGCGCCCCAGCACAATTCCCAGTGTGCGGCGCCAAATGTCAGAGTCTCGCGACGAAAACTTGTCTGCCCACCACTGCGAACTGCAGACACTCAGTGCGAAGTCTAGGCATCGCGCGTGCAAGTAGTAGCGGTGGTCGAATACGAGAGCGGCCAGGATGTCCCTGCAGTAGGCGACGGAGTCGTGCACATTTGCACTTTTTGTTGCTGTGAACGGTGCTGTACGTGGACTTCCGGCGCAAAATGTAACAGCGGTCGCGCGTGCGAGTCAAACTGACATAGCGCCAGCCGCTGCTGAGGACATGACTGCCTGTGTATGTTTCGTCCCAGTAGGCCCGCCGGGGCAAGTACAAGAAACCCACATCGAACTCGCTGCCACCGGCCGCTCCTGGCAGGTGCGCCTGTGGGTTGTGAAGATAAAGGGAGAATCTTCTAAAAATTCACCAGGAGTAGTTTCCACATATTTGCTCTATGCAGTGCTTTGCAGCAGGTATCGGTTAGTAACAGCACACAGCATCAAACAAAGAGCATGGACAGTAGATGCCGGCGATGCAGGGTCTAGCAGAACGGAGGTAAATCATTGAATATGAAGTACGCATAGTAAAATTTAAAGGTCTAGGGGCTAGGGAAGTACGTCCAAACGGAGCATCAAAAAGATCTAGGCTGGGGGGGGTAAGGACAGGGTTACAAAAAAAAAAGCATGCGCTTTTTAAAAAAAGCATGCGCTTTACAGGTCAATGCATTCGGATTCAGCAGGAGGGAATGTTATCTCCGAATATAAAGCATAGATAGTAGTTTTGGAGTGGTTAGGGCTAGGCTCAAGCAAGAATGGCCCGAAAACCAAAACTTTCGTACCGTTCGTGCTTCAAACTTCTAGGTTTGAAAGACAATTTTGGGTTGTAATGGACAAGTGTCGTGAATGAAGTGGTGGTCAAGGCTGGAGGTTGTTCAAGATAGTTCCGGCCATGTCGGTGACCTGCATGATGCGTGGCACAGCTGTCGTACATTCTGCTCCAGGAAGGCGACTTGTACAGTAGTAGGCGACAATCAGGAGCTCTAGTGCAGTTCCAGCATGCATGCCTCAATGCAGATTGTGTGAACCAGGTGCTCTAGCATGAATGGGCAACAATACATTTCGCGCTCCGCACAGAGGACATCCTGCCAGGGCGAAAAGAGGGCAGAAGTTTTGTCTGTGGCGCAGTCGGATTGGTCTCGGCGCCCGTGCAATGGCCGGTAGCATGCAGGACTGCCGTAATTTCCGGTTCTACCCGGAAAGTGTTAGTGGTCTTGCCAGGGCTGGCATGCCAGCCTTTTCGGCCCAACTGAACGCGGTGTTAGTTTCCGCTTCCACAGCGCCGGGAATCAGTTCTTGGCGCGCCTCCAAACAACAGGCAGCGATACAGCTGCCGACAAGAGCTGCAATCTTGAGATACTCCTCTTCGTGAGCCTCATCCACCGACATCGCCAAGAGGGGCTTGTCCTGGAAGCTGCGTTGCCAGGTGTCCCCGCCGCTGAGAAACGAACATGCAACAAAATCTCTGAGAAAGCGGTCAAGGCTGCGTCGAAAACCATACCGTCAAATTATCGGACAGTTGTATCGTTGTCGTAGTAGTAGTTTTATTAATAGTAGTAGTAGTAGTAGTAGTAGTAGTAATAGTAGTAGTAGTAGTAGTAATAGTACTAGTAGGTTCCGTGCCCCGTTTGTGACGCCACATCTTCGTGCATGTTGCATCGCTTAAGTCCCTCGTGTTCCACAATTCTAAGGTTTGGGGAGAATCCGCGGAAGTTCTATTTTCAGTCTCTCTCGTGGCATGAAATCTCGATGATTGCTTTGCGTGAAACTCCGAAGAATCTGATGCCAGTACTACTCTTCTCGGGCCCCAGGAAGGTCATCTTTTGTCAAAACAAGCTTAATATGTTCATTCGGCCCGCCCTCAAAGTCTTCTGCTCTGAAAATAGGAATTGTATGATATGTCGGACTGCCCTACAGACTCCCACTTGAGCATAGCGTCGCGGGGTTGCTGAGTCAGCGTGAATTTGAAGATCAGAGCTGGCTATCAATCCAGTTTTGGCATGCTCTGCCAACAGTATGCCCTCGGGGATGGGCCTGGTAATGGTTTCGACATGGATGTCGTGCAACATGCGCGAAAATCTGGTCTGACAAACGAAACGCGGATCCACCACTACTAGGGTGCTGGTCCCATGACATGTTTTTTTCCCACCACGACAGGTTTCTTCTCACAATGACTAGGATTTGGATGATTCGGACAAGTTCGGAACATGTATTTGAGGTTATGCAACCAGTCTGTAGAAGTGCTGCGGGCAACATGTGGCTGCAGGGCATGCAGACAAGAGCCTGAAGGCGAGATGAACAAACACATTTTGGGAAATTTGGGCCCTTGAAAGTCTCGAAATTCGTGCTCCCAAGCGATCTGGGCTCTGACGGGGGGAGCAGCTGAGTGTTGTCATGCTACTGTGGTGCATTACTTGCCGTGGTGAGCAAATGTCTTGTCATGGTGGGTATGTCTGATTTGTTGTCGTTGTTGCACGGTCTCTCCCCACTACTATTGATGCTACTCAGCGTGTGTCCCATACGTGACGTTGTGTCCGAACGGACTTGGTTCCATTTTTTCGTGTTTTTCTGAGATCTACCGCTGTTGGATTCTGGCATACCCTGCTCCCTCATGGGTGTGAGGAGTTCTGGTTTAGTTTGACCATCGCCCCATAAATCCACGCTATGTCCCATTAGTCCAGGGATCACCTTTTGAGAAGTTGCGCCCCATTGGTCCAAGCTACGCCCCATGTGTACAGGACTTTGACGAAACTCTTTGCTTTCTGGAATTTACTCTCCCAAGCTTTACAGCAATCCCAGGTTTGCAAGTTGTGTTATGATTTTGGGTCTCTATTGTCAAACTTTTGGGGCCCTTACCTTTTTGTCTTAGTTGAAACTTGGAACCACGAAAGACAAGTCGCTTTGCTACACACTGCAGGATAGTATACGATGCCATGGAAATCCAAGACCCTCAATGCCAACACTTGAAGGAAATTCTGATCGTGCAATTCTAAAAAACGAACATCCTGTGAACTCAACTGCTGGCTAACTCAGTCTTTTGTAGCAAGTCCTGGACTTGTCCAGGTCTGGTCGCAGACTCCGTCAGACTCATCCGCGCTGCCAGCTGACTCTCCCATGTATATCTCAAACGTGGCGCAATTGCTTGGTGTGCTCACAGCTCAACTGAGTGCCTGGCGGGCCCAGTGCCAAGTCACGGAACTTCTTGGCAGCTGCCAGAAGGGGCGGCGCTGGAGCCAGCCTTGGCAAGCCGGACTAGCTCCCAACCTGGACTCAAGCTCATAATGAAGCTTCATAATAAAATGAGGCCGCGGCCTTTTGTGGAACTTCGTCGCAAGACTGCCTTTCGCACGAACAAACACAGTCCAAGAAACATGTCCAGTTCTTTAACATGCAGTAGCATGCAGTCGCGACGTGAAGCCTTCAGGCGCATGCAGCCCAAGTGCGTCAAGGTGTTTCAGCAGCAAACTCCTGGCAGGAAAGGACATAGGCAGGAATGCTTGCACTTACTCACAGCTGAGCCATTCTGACACATGGACTGTCCTGCCACCCGCATGCTCAGCCAGGTCCACTAAACCCTGGCACAGTGATGGTCAGACAGCCTCACACAGTCACATACAAGCATCACTAAGCCCTGCCTTGAGGGAGCTCTCCCTCAGCACCTCAAATTCAGATCCGGGTCCAAGCCATGATGGACTGTTGGCCACAATGCTCACCCAAGAGGTTGGAGTGCAACTGCGGTGGCTCCAGGGTCTATTCTCGCTGAGCTCAGGTTTTGAAGCGTCGTCCACGCGTGGGATAGGTCGGCTTGAGCCCCATGGGCAAGGTTGGTTCTGGTCGCGAGGTTGTAGCGGCATGGACCCTTGTACTTAGGAAGAAAAGTGCAGGCTTCCAGTTGGGCTGTCTTTCTTCAAGCGTGCTCGTGCCATGGATGTCTCAAAGTAAGTGCCTTGGGCAGCCGTTTTCCTGCTTAGCCGTAGGTTTTGATTTGTCCTCGGGTTCAATCAAGAGCATGATTGAGATTTCCATCAATGTCTCCTCGGGCCACTTCTTGACCACGTTGGGCTTTGCACGTGTTTTTGCAGAAGTGTGGAGAATACCATCTTGGGTGCTGGGGTTCCAAAGGCTTTTCGAAGCCAATGTAATAGTTGAGCTCAAGTTCAACCTCATTGTCCCCTTGCACCGAGGCAGGGGCCCCACATCTCAGTCTCTTTACCGCGATGTCTTTGTCGCAGTACCTGCGCATGCTCACAATCTTCTCCTAGCTCGTCCGGAAGGCGAACTTTTGCTCGTGCACCCAGCATAGATCACAGAGTTGCCTCGCAACGCAAGGGGCTCCAAGAATCGCAGACAGTGTTCACAGTTCAAGCATGTGCAACCTGAGATCTGCGCGGCTTCTGCCACGCTGAGGAACCTGCTGGCCGTGGGATTCACAGGCCTGCTCAAGCTGCAAAGTGAGGTGAAAGTCTGACTCCCAGCTACGCCAACAGCAAAGACCAGTGATTGCTGTCTTTGCACTGACCTGGACAACAACAAAAAAAAGCCAGAGCATGCAAGGGGATACCGCAAACGACTGTCCCAGCTGTGCCCACGTGGCCTGCATGTCCTCCGAAAAACCCAGAAAGTCACCGTGTCCATCCTACACAGATGCTGCAAAAGACTATTGCTTCGGTGCACACTCACGCATCTGCAAGAGCGAAAGTAACGAGACTCGCCTTGAGCTGAGGCGTTCTGCTACTCGAGATCAAGACTGCCTTCAGCACAGAAGACTCATGATTAGGCACCTCTCCCGTCCTATGATTACCTCAATCAAGGTCCGTGCTGCTAAATCTACAGTAACGTCTCCCGCGCTGGAAGAATCTTGCACTTGCACCTGCACTTTTGGACTGTGGGCAAGCCATGACAGAGCTCAGACCGGAAGCCTCCATTGCTCTAAGTCCTTCCAGGTTGAAAAGGTCGCTCCACCTCGATACACTTGCTTTCTACAACCGTTGCTGCTCTGCTTCTGCCTGCAAACTTGCAAAACAGTTTTTGGGCATGCGGTTGCAGCCGTGCCAGGGGAAGGAGGGGATTTCAACAGTTCAGGAGGCGGACGGTCTGCCACTTGCTGCATCCTGGTGGTACCAGCGTGGCACCCAGCACCATGGCCTTCGTGACAGTTGTACAATATCTACCTCGTTATCTGTCTGTTTGTCTATCTGTCTGTTCATCTGTTTTGATGACCATGATAAGCCCCCGTCGGAAGGACGAGCTTCCAGGGCCAGCAGTGCCTTCCTTTGTCATACGCACTGCGCAGCTCCGACAATCAAACGTGAGCGACAAGCACAAGTCTAATTGCCTGTGGGACTTTTGCAGGCTGTGGTGATGCGCCTTTCACGCTCTCCACAAGCGTTGACACTGGGCTCGGGGTAGCAACTTCTGAGCCTGTTCAGTTCGGACACGAGCTCCAAAGCGACGAAGAAAACTTCCACCTCACAAAATCTTTGGACACGCATGTTCTTGGCTGCTCTCACTTCCGTTCGCCTGCGCCATGAAGCCGACGTGGTAACGCGTGTCCTGAAATGGATGTTTGGAGCACCTATGGCAAATGTGCATCATCATGAGACTGCACAAGGACCGCTGCCAGGAGTCATAGAAAAGATACCGAAAGAAGTCTTTGGACGCATCATCTTTGGATGCCTGTTGCGCCGTTATCGTGATTCGGGCAAAGTCTTGGTGCGCTGTGCCTGAGCCCTTGCGCCAGTTTTCGGCACAGGGGTTGTTGATGGAGTTGTGGTTGTGGTGCCATCTTCACCCTGCATGATTACTACTGGAAAGCTCCGGAAGCAAAACAGACTTAATGACCAGTCCGGCCTCAACACCATCACAGCGCATTGCACAAGATGCCAGGGATTCCGATTGCTCCTGACTCCACGCAAGATTGAGGTGACACTCGAACCTAAAAATGAGTGTCCTGACACAGGCACGTGGGACGAGACTCTTTGTCCCGCATGCAAGAACCTTCCAGCCTGCAGAACTTCAAGCCAGTGATAGAATGATCAGACGAAGAAACATCAAAGGCCCACCTGGCCAGACTGGATCTGCCCAACACTACACGCGAGCACCAGGATTTGCAGGCTGCTACCCCTCCTTGAGCATCAGGACCTTAACAAGAAAGACAGCCGCCAACAGAATGCTGCGTGGAAACTGTGGCACCATGAGAATGCGGCAAGGCGCACGAAGCGCTGCACGCGCCTCAAACCCACCCGGACAAAAAAAACAGGCAAAAGTCTGGAAAGCTGGCTGCAGACCTGCTGGGCTGCCTCCATGGCGTGCTCGAGCTCTGGCCTGGGCCCAACTCGTGGCATCTCAAGTTCTCATCTCGGTGCATCAGCTTAGCGTACCACTCATTTGGCAAGAATGAGCTCCCTTGTCGGCTGTAAATTGCCTGTTGGCCTCAACTTGCTACAACAGCAAGAATCACCTAGCTGGCCTACGTTACATGTCCGGTGCCAAGGGTTCAGCCGTTCTTTGACACCAGTATTCCGTGATTTTCCCCAACCTGTACCAGAATGTGCAGAACAACGCCAAGAGCCAACGCTGCGTGGATCTCAGCTGCAGGCTTTCACAAGTGAGGAAGCGGCGAGCTCCTGCAAATCTCCACTCTGGCGAAGATGTCGCCACAACAGATGCTGCAGCGATTAAGGACACATTTGCTTGAAAGCACCCTTTTCAGACCACGCATCACCGCAGCAACATATATGCCACAATTTTGGGTCTTCACAAAGTAACCAACTTCGATAGCACATGTCATGGCGGTTTCTGGAACTACGCAAATTTCCAGCTTGGAAGCAGACGTACCGTCACCTTTGCCCTGGGATGACTTTGCATCCGCAATAGAGCTGAACAAAGAGACCGCAAGCCACTGCGATGACTTTTTTCCGGACCACTGTCCGACAGCTCGGCACCGCAAATCCCCAGATCTGCTCATGCAGCAGTGCAGATGTAGCCACCCGATCTTTCCGACTACGTTGTAAGTGAGCTTTGCACGTTGTTCGATGCACACGTTTGCCAGTGTCACTGCACTGGCAACAAAGTTGGTGCTCGGCCAGGTTGAGCAAGTACCTTGTACATCGCAAGCTAAGAAGACGTAGTCGAGCAGTAAATATCCAACATCCTCCAGAAAAAGTAGCTTGCACGGTAGCGTCCGTCATGGTCAAGAGCAAGTACTCTAGGAATCTCCCGCGGGTTCCTTCCATGCCCCAACACCCATGTCGGATGGCGATCCGCGTTCAACAAGAAAGACCATCTCGGTCATCTTCTCACAACATGAGGGCAATTGCATCCTGCGGTCCTCATACAGCACCTTGTTCAAGGATCACAGAGCGCTTCTCACCCTGTGACCACCATGATCGGAAGCGTCTCTGGTGTGCTAAGGCGTCCTGCATCAATAGCATAAGACACAGGATGCTGTATGATGGAATCTCTTCTCACATCAATGCAAAATTGCTTCAGGCATCCTCCGGGTATGTCAGGATCCTTAGATCTCTGAACAGATGTATGTCCGGCAAACAGGCAAACAACTACGATTCTTGTGTACTGGGCTCACTGAACCAGCTTCAAGCAGCTCAAGAAGGTATACTGTAAGCAAACTGGGCCGAATAGAAATCGAGTCACGGTATGGCACCAGGCTTTCCAACTGGGCCTGGACCTTTGAAGCTTCCGCGCCCTCCCGCGGTTCCCTCCAGCTCTGCCTCACCAACTAGTGCAATGGCACATGAAAAGAAGCCCCAGGCTCGGAAGAGTGTAAATGCAAAACCCCGAAATAAGCGCAGACCATCCAACGTAAGCTTCTGCCCAGGTGCGTGGCCATAGTTCGCCAGAAGATACAGAAAGCCCGAGTGAGACACAACCTTGCTCACACCAAAGGCAGGAGTCGCGGAGGCTCAACAAGCATATCTACTCGCTCAACTCCAAGTAACGGCCAGGTTCCGAGCAGAACATATCGGCTCTTCAGTGAAGACTCTCCTTAGTATGCTCGAGTGACCGGAAAGGCAAAACCATAACGGAAAAGATGCGGAAGGCAAATGGAATGCTGACATCAGAGATTGGTGTCCTCATCATGGCGCGCTGGAGAAGACTCCCCCACTTTGCCGTGCAACTCAAGAACTCCCGGATAGCCAACTAATAGGTTGGATAGCAACCACACACTTTGTGAACTGTTGCACGGTCACGGGCAACATTTGCCAAGCATCTTCACAAGTGCAGAACATTGGCTTAAGCCTCCAAAACGCAGAGTCCAAAATTCAGAGGTCTGGAATGAAAAGGAATGAGGCAGGGAAGCTCGGGCCACAGAAATCTGCCAGCCCAGCCAAAGCTCTACAACTACGGGCCCAGAACGTAAATAGGTTGGGTGAATTCCAGATGTGCAGGCGAGGCTCTGCAGAAATTTCTGCGCTCGCTCAGCACAGGACTCTCGAGACTCGCGTACCATCCCTGGCCGCCAAGCTGCATCCACAGAAGTGGCAACTCGTGAGAAATCCACCTGACAAATTTTGAGGCACAAAAGCTTGAAAGCTCTAAAACTAGTTCTTCCACCTGTGCAAACTCCTCGGACACTTGCTCGACTGGTCGACGCGAGTTGTGTGCTGATGAGGATACCAGTTCTCGCAGCTCCTGCATGTGCAGCGTGATGCACGGTGAGTGCATGAATCCCATCAGGACGTGCACACCGTAACTTGAAGTCCTCGAGCGCCACAATGCAGCCTGACTTCGGCTGGAAAGCGAGAAGGGCAGTTTGAAGACACCGTCTCAAGGGCGATGTCAAGACGACGTCTGGCCCGTCCCCATCCTGAGCTCTCAATTCTCAACTGGAGTCTGGAACGCAAGCGTGGCGAACAGAAGCATTGCCATGTGCTGGCAAGTCTCGATCTGCAGGTTTCGTGCTATGGCAGCAGCTTGCTCCTCGCCGAGTTTGGTGAGCCTTTCGTGAAAGCAAATCGAGCCACAAGAAGCTGCCAAGCTGCTAGCACTCTGCTGACGCCTGGAATCCACATGCTCGGGTCCAGCCCTCCCATGGGCCAATGCGACATTGTGCGTCGCTTGGCCGTGCCGTGCGAAGTGCACGATTCTGGATCCCCCTTGCGGAGAACCTCAAGACTGAATGATGGATTCGTTTATCAGAAAAAGATTTGGCATGTTATTCAAACTGCAGCCAGGCTTCGGCACTTGTACGGAAGAATCTGCCCCTGCAAGGGAAACAGTGCCTGTCCTACCAAAGTGGAAGCGTGAGCTCCCGCACTGCCACAGTTAACACAAATCCGGTTTTTGCACAGAGCTCACAACAAAGGAGTCCTGGGTGCTGTAGGAGCGCCATTGCAAACAAACTAAACAGAGAATACCTCATCGTAACGGACCTTTTGCACCACGCCTCGGTGCCGCCCTGACAAAACTTCTTTGCACCCACCTGCTGCCTTCGAGAAAGGGAACTTCCTTTCACAAATTGCATTCTTTCACGCGCAGGCCCGACTCTGCATGGGCAAGGGCTGAAAAGACTGCGGAAATCATCGAATATGACATGCAAGAAACAGAAGTCAAAGGTCACAAAGTCATGTGGCAAGTTGGTTCAGTTGCATCCTCCTGGGTGATCGACTCCCCGGTCGTGGCTGCATACCAGCGTCCGTCAGCGAGTTGGGGAAGCTGAGTCAGCACGGAGAGGTGTCAGGCAATCCGCCAACCCAAGCGTTAAACCTGCTCTTCCCTGTCTTGCGTTGAAGTTGAGCCCCACACTGCTGCCGCGCCAGCGAAAGCCCCCAGAAAGGCAACTGTGCGGGGCATTGCCCGTCATTCAGGGAGGCATGCCATGATGCATGTCTAGGATCCTTCGCATTGCTTGGCTATCCTGACCTGTCATGTAAGCTTGCAAACCACCAAACCAAAAAAGATATTTGTCAATGAACAATTGAAAGTTACTTTGCCATGTCAGAGCCTGTGCTGCTCAGCATATGCAGCATCAAACTCGTGCTAGCGCAGAGGCTTCAGCACAACAACCCTTCGTGCTGAACTCCTCTTTTCGCTTGATCTTCCAGCCGTGCTGGTCAACATGCTGGTGTCAACCGTGCTTCTGCCATCGCTATGGCAGACCTGCTGCCACTTCTGCGTCTTGGTGATCTAAAATGCCATGAACTTCGAAGTACAAAGCAATCTCCAGGTTGCAGCGACTGTGGCTTCTGACGGTCTGTGCCGTGTCAGAGGCACCAACGCACCACCACGTTCTTCACCAGATCTGATACACCCTCATTTCAGGGCTCCCGGGCTGCCGCAAAGACGTACTGGCGCACTGGGCATGGACAGCTACAAGTCTGCTTGTCGCGACCCAGTCAGAAACGAAAGTGTTTGTGACTTGGTGGAGGTGGCGGTGGAGGTCTGCTTCGAATGGCTTGGCTGGGCTCACGCGAGTCCATGGGAAGAGATTGTAAAACCCCTTGACACTGCTTGACAGCTTCCGTGAAGGCAACGGCCAGCGGCGCAACTAGAACAACCACTCGGCCTTCGGTTTCGAATGGGCGGCAGGTCAAGCGGAGACCGCACAAAGCAAACTGCTGTTGAGGAAGCGCGCGAATGATAAAGGTTTGATTGATGTACGTCTCAACCCAGGCATGACCTCCTGCCTGGCAAGACGCACTAGGCATGGACCTTTCTTCACCTCTGTGATTGTACCAGTGAGCTGCTACACCCAAGCCAGCAGGCAAGTCTCGACCACCACCAAGTGCCATGATAACGCGGTCATCTTCACCCACGCGGCCGTGAGAACCCCATCGACGCCTTCCGCTGCCTTGGCGCGTTGCCCAGGCCACGCAATCTTCAGTAACTAGCTGGCAATGGTTCCTTGGATAGACAATAACTCGCAATGCTGGAAGACCGCC